AATATCATTTAGTTGTCCCAGATGGCCTTGGGCTCACTGAAGCCCAGGGAGGCCTTGAAATTGCCACTCCCTTGCCCCTCAGCATTGCAAGTAACTAGACCAGGCCTAGCTAGCTAATAGATCTTGGAAGCTAGAGCACATATCAGAGTATAACTTCCATCTCACTGTTGGGAAAACCAGCACATGGTGAGTGAAATGTCTAGCTACCACAGGCTCTGATGAGCTGTGAATTAACCTAGACTTGCTCATGTGAAAGAACTGGCCACCTTGGGCTGCTGTTGGGTCAACATAAAGCAGGAAGCTAGCAGCCAGCTCTAAATTAGTTGTAGCTCCATCTTCCATTTGACTGGGAAGGAGCCAGAGCTCTCCCGAGTTTGTCTGAACTCTTGGTCTACAGAAAGCATGTGAAGAGACACAGTTGTTAAGCTACAAAGCTTTAGACAGGTTTGTTCTGTTGCACAAGATAATTGGAGTTTATTGATAAAGATGAGCAAATTACTGCATCACTAAAAAAGCAAAACAAAACAAATAAGTACATGAGTACTATATCCATTTGTGGAAGGGTATACCCCAAACTGTTAAATATCACATCTAGGGGATGGAGCTATGAGTCTAGGGTGGGAGGGAGGGCCTTACTTGTCATTACATTTGGTATAACCTGAAGTTTTAGCCCTGTACACTTGGTACAAATTGATACTTGATAAAAAAATTTTTTTTTGTTTCTACATGCATGGATGCTTTACCTGCAAGCATGTCTGTGCACTATGCACATGTTGGGTGCCTGAAGTAGACAGAAGAGGGTGTTGGATCCCCTGGGACTGGAGTTACATATGGTTGTGAGCTGGGAATCAAACCTGGGTCCTCTAGAAGAACAGGCAGTGACCTTAACTGCTGAGCCATCTCTCCATCCCTGAGACTTGATCATTTTTTTAAAAATATACTGTTTCTTTGTGTGTATACAGGTGAGTGCTCGTGGAAGCCAGAGGTATCAGATTCTCCCAGAGCTTGCATTACGGGTGATTGATGCCTGCTATGGGTACTGAGAACTGAACCTGTGTCCTCCGAAGAGTGCTAAGCACTCTTAACCATTGAGTTCCCTACTTGAAAATTTTTTGAGACACAGTTTAAATTTTAAGTAAAGCTATTAAATAAATCAGTTCACAATCCTTGCTATTTTGTTTTCACAGATTTCTCTTTTTTTGGGGCATTTGTAGGAATCAGAACAGAACTGTGTGCAGTAGTATCTTAGGCTTTTCACAATTTCTCAAGAACACAGCTGTGAACTGTTTTTGTACATGCCTTCGGAGCTGGAGAGAAAAGAATATATTTAATCATGTTTAATTTAGTAAGAAAACCAGTTCCCAGCAATAACAGAGATCAAAGTCAGTGCTTCATCCCAGTTCATGATTCACTTTAGGGTTTTTGCTCTGAAAGATGATGAGATACAGATTTTAGCTTTCATAGACCTGGCAGGTTGCCATGGTATTGAGACCACCATCCTTGCCATTTCTCTCTGGTCCAATTCTCATTTTTATAAAATGTACTAAAGATTTTTAATATGATCATATAACAGAATCATTTTGTTAAACTCCATCTGGAATCTCTTTTGGGTCCAAATCACTTCTGGTGAGAGAGACCAGATCGTCATAAAAAAAATGTTGTGCAATGCAATTGTTTCTGAATTGGGGTGTGATTTCTTGAACCCCAAGGCTGCATCCCTTACTTTTAGCTTACTGTTAGGCTTCATGGATCTCAGAAGTGGATGTGATTTTAGTGGCTTCCTCAAGCCATCTCAATTTGTGAAGGAAGAAAAGACATTATGTTACTTTAAAAGTTCTAGAATGTGAGCATTCACCCTTTGGGCAGTTTGTTAAGACAGACTGCTCCAAGCTCCTGGGTCTGTGGGGTTGGAGTAAGGTGGGGGACTTTGCCTTTCTGATAAGTTTTCAGTGACACTGTTGGTGAGAGAATCATACTTTGGGAATCATCCCCCCCCCCCCCATTTTCGAGACAGGATTTCTCTGTGTAGCCCAGGCTGTATTGGAACTCACTCTGTAGACCAGGTTAGCCTGGAACTCAGAGATCCACCTGCCTCTGCCTCCCTAGGATTAAAGGTGCTTCACCATTTTATCCCCTAGTATGGGGAGCATTCTAACTTTTTATTGGCAAAGTCAATTCTGAACAAATTGAAATGCATATCATATAAATATTAATTTCCCTCAAATAATAAAACAATGAAACTCCAATAGGATTCTGCAAAAGTCTTAACTGAATTTGATGAACTGTTTTGTGCTGTAATTATGAAAATTCAAATTTTATTTATTTTTTGAGTGAGTATAATCAAATTGTTCAGTTAACAAAGAGCGTGGAGTAGCCAAGCCTATCTTCCACATAGGTCATTAGTCTCTCCTACACACTTTCGGGGCATCAGGACCTCCTTTTTACACAAGCAATAGTCTAATACACACATGCTCCTAGATACAGCTTTGTCTGAACAATGTAACACTGTGATGTACAAACACAGCCCCCCCTCTGTCTCTCTAGCTCCTCCCTCCTCTTCTCCTCCCTCCCCATCTTTGCTGACCTTCCTCCACTTTAACACATGGTCCTCCTTACTTCCTCTCCCAGCTCCCAGGAGCTTAGGATGTAAGAAGGCACCTACAGAACCGCTATTTAAAATAACTATTCCTTAGACCAAACTGCAGAATTTCTTTGCTTCTTTAAGTAAAAATCATTTCAAATATGCTTCATCCCTCCCACCCCCGCACTTGATGATTACTTAACAGAACTTCACACAAAGCTTATGGCTTCCACCTGTCTCAGGAAGACACACAGTATCCCTCTTATCTTCCCATTTAGTTGTCAGCTTTTTCCCCAGAAGCTAAAGTCCAGAAGTCTTTTTTTTCTGTCATAAACTGATAAGAAGATGAGTATTACTGATGCCCTTTTTGGAGCACACCCAAGTTTTCTGTTCCTGCTCATATGTTTGGCTCGGGTTCCTGTTGTGTGCCCTCCTGTAGGTGTTGGAGTATGTTCCCTTTGCACTCATAATGTGTGATGCATGTCCACTTCTCAAATACATGTTTCCCTTGTTCTGATGATTTTGAGTCATAGAAGCCCATGAAATAGCTCCTTAGAAACAGGTTTGCACTCACCTTTTCACAGGACCAGTATGCTAGACATTAACATGTCACAACCTTATGTGTATTTGGAAAATGACTCCCAGTTTGTAGAGAAAGCAAATGGATTAGGGTTGAAGGTCCAGGTGATGGTTAACAGAAGCAAGTGCCATCTCTGTGTCTGGAAGGTGACCACCGATGTGTATCACCACTGAGTGTGATTTGCTGCCACCATCTATGGAGTGAGAATGAGATGCTTCCTACATCTGTTCCAAGACCACATGGGCGACTGCCTTGTCTGTCTGCTTGAATATTCACGATAAAATACCACAATTTGGGTGGCCTTAACAGGGAAGAACAGTCAGACAGGATGGTGAGGATGGAGGATGTATGTCCTTGTAAGAAGAGGTCCTGGAGTTTCTCTCTCTCTCTCTCTCTCTCTCTCTCTCTCTCTCTCTCTCTCTCTCTCTCTCTCCACACACACACACACACACACACACACACACACACACACACACACACACACACACACACACACACACACCACACACACTGAAGATGCCATGCATGCCTACGCACATCATGGGCGTGGCTATTTGCTAGCTGGGAAGGGAGCACTAAACAAAAACAGCCCCGACAGACCATGGCCTTGGACTTTCTGTTGTCAAAGTCACCCCAATCCAGCCGAATACCATCACTCTGGGGGTTAAGACTTCAACAGCCTGCTTGGAGCAGGAGGGGCATACAATCAGCCTATAATCCTGTCAGCCAGTTCCTGGAGTGAGGGAATCAAGGCTAGTAGTGCATTTCCTCATAAAGATTTCCTTCTTCTGGGGGTTTCTACAGCCAGCTGTCACCAGATGTATCTAGAAAAACGAGACACAAAGCAAGGAACAGTTTTATCAAGTTCTTAAATGTGCACACCAGCTGCTGCCCTTACAGGAAGATGGCTCCGCAGATGAAGGGGCTTGCCTCCAAGCCTGCTGATGTGAGTTCAAACTCAGGCCCACATGGTGGAAGGAGAGAACCAACTTTTTTAAGTTGTCCTCTGACCTCCACATGTGTGGTATCATGCATGCCAACACATATATACATACGAAATAAATAAATATACTTTTTGAAAGAAGCTTTTGTGGTAAATGTAATTATCACAAACTTAGGTTTTCTTTCTTTTTCTAAGTTCTAATCTCTAGATAGTCTCTGGAGTTCGGTACTGACTTACATAATGACTAATTTATAATCATGGACCTGTGATCCAGAATGGGGAAGCCCTTGACTACAGTTTTCTCTGAGTGAATCTGGAAATAAACTTGAAAATCTAAGCACTCTGGTGGGCATATTCCAAAGTTGTGATCCACTAAGTGGTCCTGTATTGTGATCTAAAAGATTGTAGCAGAAATTATGGATGTTACATACTTCTAAAATTTCAACAACTTACTGAGCTATTTAAGCAATATGACTTTTCGGTTAAACTGGAAACCATTGGTTGTTATTTTTGTTCTTGTTTTTCAAGACAGGGTTTCTCTGACTCTTCTGGAAGTCGCTCTTGTAGACCAGGCCGGCCTCGAACTCAAAGATCCTCTCACCTCTGCCTCCCAAGGGCTGGGATTAAAAGGTGTGTGTCACCACACACCTTTTAGTTTTGAAGAGAGTTGGTTCTAGATCATGAATTGATTATTCAATAAAAGCTGGTTTTACAAGGGAAGTGAGTTAAAATGGAAAATTAAGGACAAGATACAGAAGGGCGGAGGACTCACATCCCAAAGGTTCTCAAGTTGGAGATTATTTCCCATGTGGGAAAAGACTCGCCCTTACTAACGTCAAGTGTTTGGATCCATTTTCATGCATCACTGAGAAGAGCGTGCATTTTCACCCCCACAGAAAGCCAAGCCCTTGATGACCGAGTTCTCGGTGAAGTCTACCATCATCTCTCGCTATGCCTTCACCACAGTCTCCTGCAGAATGCTCAACAGAGCTTCTGAGGACCAGGATGTCGAGTTCCAGATGCAGATCCCAGCAGCAGCTTTCATCACCAACTTCACCATGTAAGGGATGCGATGGCCAGAGACAGACAGTTGTCTGTGGATGGTCAAGGGGAACCCGAGAGTGTATGGGGTCCACAGCCCATCAAACTGCGAGAATGCATATCCTGTGGGTGGTCTGAGAATCAGAGGGTTGCCTGCCTGCTTTTCTTCTCTCTCTCCCTCCTTCCATCTCTCCCTCCTTCCATCTCTCCCTTCCTCTCCCTCTCTAATTTCCTAGCTTCCTGTTTCTCTTCCTTTCTTAACTTCTTTCCTTACATCCTTAACTTCCTCTCTTCCCTACCTCCTCCCCTCCTCCCCTTGCTTCCTCTTTCTTCGTCTTCCTTTATTTTCTTCTTTCATTCCATCCTTTTCTTCCTCATGTTTTACTTTCCTCTTTCCCCTCTCTCCCTCCTTCATGTCCACTCTAGGACAGGCACTCATTGAGGGTATTGGTATAAGAAAGGAGAAGCTTGCTCTCTCTGCTCCAGAAATTCCAGGGAAGGAGAAATACTCAGGAAGTAAGTAAATGAGTTAGTAAATGGGGTCATTTCAGATGGCAGTGAACTCTGTGGTGTAAAGATTGTACTTTATGTCTTCTGAGACAGAATCTTACTGTGTAGCCCAGACTAGCTTTGAACTCATCATCGCTCACACCCCAGCCTCTTGAGGGCTGATATCATAATTATTACCTTCATGCCTGTCAAGAAGGGATCCTTTGGGAAGAGAGCTCAGGGAGTTAGCTTAGACTGGGCTATGCTTAAATTGAGGTCTGAACAGCGAGACAGTATGAAACCTTTGAGATATTAGATCAAATATATTTCCTCTTATTCTGATCCAAGAGAAAGAGTTTTAACTACGACAGACATTTGTGTTTAAATTTTGATCTGGGAAAGGTGCAAGCGCTGAGTTCCTGTGGGAGTTTGAGATCTTGGGGTTTTCTCCTATAGAATCATGGAGGTACCCTGGGTTGGAGGGCTGCCCTTTGGTCTTGATGAAAATTGCTTTTGAACGGAATGAATGATTCAAGGCTGGTGCTGAGTCTGGAATGCATTCTATCTGCATACCCAGGAGGCACATACAAATATTTTCTGGGGTTGTCATGGCTCTGAGAACCATGTTGGAGTTTGTCTTGGAGCTGGTGACACAGTTGTGTCTTGTGTTTTAGGCTTATCGGAGACAAAGTGTATCAGAGTGAAATTACAGAGAAAGAAAAGAAAAGCCGTGATAGGATAAAGGAAAAAAGAAACAAAACCACAGATGATAATGAGTAAGTATCAGGTAGTTAAGCAACTAAAATTCAATTAAACGAAGAGTTCTATCCCTTCCCTTCTTGTCTGTCTGTTCTCTTCCTCCAAACGTTTTTAATTTTAATCAAAATAATTAATATACCTGATTAAAAATGCTTCAGCAAGCACTTAAAATAATAAGAAAGGTTTAATGTGCCTATGCCTCATTCTTGCTTTCTAGAATATATATTTCTAAAAATTGTGTACAGTTGTCTTTATAGTTACCTCCCTAACTATGATTTTCTTGATTTCTCAATAAAAACAAAACATTATCTACAGACTCTGCTGTGAAGGAAGTTTACAATACTTATTTTTAAAGCCAAAAATTTTATAATGTCATTTTCTTTCTCCGTTAGTAGACTGTCCTAGACTATCTCCACCATCTTCAATGGTGATATTCTTTTCCACCCTTCTCTGCCTCATCGTAATTGTTGTACCCATTATTTGTTTTATATAATTTATTTTTGCATTGTTAGAATTATTAACATATACATTCTGGTCTGAAATGATAATTGCATTCTTTTAAACCAACAAACTACCTCTGCTTTTATGTGTGTGCACAGGTATGCACTCACACATCTTATATGTGTGTATATGCACTCACCTGTGAGCGTGTGAAGGCCAGAGGATGACTTCAGGCCTCCTCCTCTACCACTCTCCACCTTAGGTATTTTGAGAAGGGATTTCTCACTGAAGCTTGCTGTTTTGGCTAGATCAGCAATCACTCAAGGAGACTCCTGTCTCTCCTGTCTCTCCAAGCCCATGCCAGGATTACAGGTGATCATGGCCTTACCTGGCTTTTCTGTGCATGCTAGGAACCTGAAGTCAGGTCCTCGTTCGTTCAGCAAGCACTTTTCCCACTGAGCCATCTTTCCAGTCCCAGCGTTTCCCTTGTAATGTTGACTGATCTTGACAGGTGTTATCTAGTACACAAAGATTTGTTTCCTCCTCTACTGGATCAATTGGAAGGGTTTTTTCCCCCTTTATAGAAAAGTTATTTTAGTATCTAAACAAAAGTTTGTGTATTTGTACATCTGATTTTGTTCATTCATAAAGGAATATTGTCTTAGGAAAACTAGTTCTCAAAAGTCACAGAACTTGGTGGTCAGAAATGCCATCAGTAAGAATGGAAGAGCTCATTCTGTGTGGAAGACCTGAGTCTTGGGTTCACTCTGATTCTGAAAAGCAAACCAAACCCAGAGTGCCAGATAAGGGATATTCAGATAAGGACAGACTGCTCCACGTTTATCCTAACATAGTTCCCAAGGACACAGGACGGTGAGGCATTCCAGTCAAGGTGACATTGATGGCTTTACACACAACCCTGCTTGCTTTGAGCCTGTTCAAACAATTCCTCATTGAACTTTTACCTACCCTCTCCTCTTCCCCATTCCCACAATCCTATGTCCCATCTCTTTGTTTAGTGAGATGCCTCACAATGCTTCTGGATGCCATCTCCCTTGGTGCAGCAAAGTTATTAAAAGCTCAATTTGCTGAGCTACAGCTGTGTCCCGAGTTGTCTTTATCAGAATTGTTCAGGATGATGGCACCGGTTAATTTAGTTGGGCTATAAGTCCTGGAGTTTCTAATTGTTTTTCTTTTTTCTTAGGAGATAGAATTTAATTTTGTCACTGTTAACATCTGCTAAGACACATAGTTTGAAATGATAACAAAATGAATAGCTATAACTGGGTTTCTGGATGCAGTGACATCCACCCCACACCCTGGATGCCTGGCCAACATCCATTACATGAGAAATGAAAGATGAGGGCAAATTCTGGTTTCATAAGCTGATGAAATACGGCTGGGTCCTGGCCATGCAATCTACTGCTTTTGCTTTGGAGATCTACTGGAAAACATTTACTCCGGAATCTCCCTTTCATTCCAAGTTGATTTTGTTATTTCTTTGATTCCATATCTTCCTCCTCTTTTATGGTTTTTCACCTTTGTTGAAAGTATATTCTGAAGTAACTTTCACAGCATGGGTGCATGACAGACAAACTTTCTGAGACCTGGATCAGTATTTTGGCTGTGTATGGAATTTACGATGGAAATAACTTTCCTTCTGAACTTTGAATTACTCTCCCAGTGCCTTGTGTAATCAAATCTGGTTTTGCTAATGATGGATGGAAGGTAATCTAACACCATTCCTTCCCCCTGTTTCCTCCATCACATGTTCTGAAGTTTTACTTTAATGGGTTTCTCTGTGATTTCTTTTCCATTTGATCTGCCTAGTGTGGGGTGAAACTTTTTGATCTCAATATTCGTATCTCCAGTTCCGGAAGGGCATGCAGTGAGCCATTCATATGTGGACTGGGATGGTCTCCCCTGTCTGGTCCCCTTTCTTATTCCTTTTCTGATGTATCCTATTGAAGATAGAGCTTGCACTTTCAGTGAGATTTCTCAAGGCAGTTTGAGTCACTTCTTTCCTGCAGCTTCTTCCAGAATGTTCTGAGCTGTAGAATTCTTGTTTAAATGAATTTTTCCCCCAACATACACGTTTTCTTGGAATGTTCTTGAGTGTCTTAACCACCGTTAGTATTCTACCACCTTAAATCGGACAACCTGAACCCCAAGTGCTGAAAACATTTGCAATGGTTGCTCTTTTTATAACTTTCACAGTCATTTATTTTATTTACTGGTAAACACAATCACCAAGGTGTAAACATGTGATATATTATCAACTTTAGAATTATGTAAGATGTCAGCAGTTTCTTGACCACACCTGTAACGGGGAAAACACTATTCACATCTGGACCACGCTCACTCTTGTAGCAGTTCACCTCCGAACTGTCCTCTTTATATCATCTCCTTGGGTCTGTCTCAGGGAGAGTTAAGGGAGGTGGCCAGATATTGAATTCTTTCCTACTCAGTGTTCTTTGGCCCTTGGTAGGAGGCAAACAAACAAACTTGACAGACGCAGTTGAAAGGAGGATTTGTTTCGTCTCACGGTTTCAGAGGGTCTTATCCATCATGGTGGGGAAGGCACATGGTGGGAGCTGCTGTCTGTGAAGCAGGAGTTCGTAGTGCGGCTCCCCACGTGGCAGGAGCAGGAGCAGGAGCAGGAGCAGGAGCAGGAGCAGGAGCAGGAGCAGGAGCAGGAGCAGGAGCAGGAGCAGGAGCAGCAGGAGCAGAGAAAGCTAACCAGGAACTGGGCCAGGCTATTACTCTTCAGGGACCTTTCATTGTTGACCTACTTCTCTAGCTAAGCTCAAAGGTTTCACATCTCCCCCATACAGTGTCTTTGACTGGTGACCAGGAGCCTGTGGGGGATGGGCACTTCAGATCAAACCATGACAGTGGCCTTCCTCTAGTATAGGTCTATATTTCTTCCAAAATTAAAATTAAATTTGATTTTTCTTTATTATGTTACTTGGATTGAATTTAGGGCCTCCTGCTCATTGGGCAAGCACTCTACCCCTGAAGAACATCCATAGCTCTCATTTTTCTTTCCTTAGGGCTGTCGTCTGGCTCGGCCCAAGAGTCTCTTTGGCAAGTATGGCAGGAACCAGGCTTTCCCTTCCCTGAGCTTATTCGTGGTCCATTTTTCTTCCTAACAGGGAGAAGGGGATGGACACGTTCCAAGCTTCTTTAGTGATTCCCAGCAAGGACAAAGCCGCGTTCCTCCTCAGTTATGAAGAGCTTCTGCAGAGAAGGCTGGGGAAATACGAGCATATCATCAGCGTGCGCCCCCAGCAGCTGGTGGGGAGGCTCACCGTGGAGGTGAATGTTCTGGAGAGGTCGGGCATCGCGGCCTTGGAGGTGCTGCCTCTTCACAACAGCAGGAAGAAGGGCAGTGGGGTGGCAGAAGGTGAGTCATTCCTGAGGGTGCTCAGGTCCTGGGGGATGCTCAAAGCTGGGACTGGGATTTCACGAACTCTGCAGAGGAAATGGCGTCCCTTCCACAAAGGCTTCAAGTGTTATAGAAATTGGAAGAAAGTCACTAAACAGAGACAAGGCTTTGTATAATTTTTTTTAAAAGATCAGCTTCCACCAAGAGATGAATAAACGTTTAAGTTTTTTGACATTGTAACCCCACTCTGAGGAAGTGATTGGTAAAGTGTAGGTGAAATTTCTAAAATATTGAGAATATTACATCCAGGAAGCTGATAGTACTTATCAGACAAAACATCCTTATCATTCTAAATATTTAATGTTAGAAAAGCAATTAGTAATGAGCAATGATCAGAGGTAATTTAGCACGTGATGGGGAAAAAGACAAACACATCAGCATGCATGATAATATTAAATATGTTGAACATTGCAGAAGACTAGCAAGTCATATAAAACAGTGATTTCATCTCAAGAGCATAGGGTTATGGGTATGTTTTATAGAAGTCATCTTTTTTTGTGGTGAGTGAGATGGAATCTAAGGCTTTGAAAATGTTAGTCAAGAGCTCTGCCATTGACCTATTCTCCTAGCCTCATCGATCTTCTTCTCGGTGTTCAACAATGGTATATTCTTTCCAAGGTTACATAAAGAAACATGTGTTTGGAGACAGCCTGGCGGTGCTCACCTGTAATCCCAGCTGCTTGGGAGGTTGAAGTAGACGTGAGGGAGTAAGATCAGGCTAGACCGGACAACACAGTAAGACTCTTAAAGTGAAGTCAGAGGATGGCCAGGACATAGCACAGAGAAACAGACTTTCCTAGTATGAGTGAGGCCTAAGGCTCAATACTCAGTACTGGGAAAAAAAAGTGTTCTGATCTGCAGATGATATTAAACAGCCATTTTCAACTTGGTAGAAGCTCTAAATTCAGAATTTTCTTCAATTTTTTTAAAAAACAGAATTTAACTTGCTGAAATAATTATGAAAGATTTAAGGTGGTATATATATGTATTTAAGGTAGACTGTATATGTATATATATAAATATATGTATATTTAATATGTACATATTAAAAACTGAAACATATTGCTGTAAAAGCTTCCATATACAGTATATATTTACATATATTATATATTTTTTCTTTTATTGAAAATAGATTTTTCCCCACATAATTTTTCCTGACTGTGGATTTTTCCTTCCTTTACTCCTCCCAGCTCCCTCCCACCTTTCTTCCCATCCAGATCCACTCCCTTTCTGTTTCTCATTAGGAAACAAAAAGGTTTCTATGGGATAATAATAAAATGTAATATAAGACAAAAACAAAAACTAACACATTAGAATTGGATGAAACAAACAACCAGAAAGAAAAGAGCTCATGAAAAGGCACAAGAAACAGAGACCCACTCATTCTCCATTCAGAGATCAAAGTGGTCTATTTTTAGTCATCATTAATTCCAAATAGTAGTTTGTATTAAACACTTCCTTGTGTATCTCTACGCTTGACACACAAGTACAGCTGAATGCCAGATCCAATCAAATAGTAAGATAGCCATATTCAAACATCACACCAGGGTTGGAGTGACAACGTTTCAGATACCTATGACCTTGAGAACAGGGGACTAGTAAATGAGACGTGAATAGGTAAAAGTGCAGACTCTGAATTAAGTGCCAGTGGCTGCTAGGAGAGTCCAGAGCAGGCACATCTTAACAACAAAAACTGAACTTGACCCTTGTAAGCCACATCGGACTTCAAAAGCCAAAGTGTCGTCAAGCCGTCTGACATTCAGAAATGGCAGGAAATACGACCCTTCATCCTCATGTCCTGTGGGTGGTAGTCACACAGATCGTAGATTTTTGTTCAGCTATTGGTATAAACTGGAAGGAAATTGTTGCCATGGTGTAAAACAGGTCTTCCACATCTGTGCAGCAGGGGCAGAGCCTGTCTCAGTGACTCTGAAGCACTGCCCTACAGAAGTCTCTTGGCTCAGAGTAAGAGCTTGATAATTACCGTTTTATTATTGTCATTATTATGTTCGTTATATTTACTCTTTCTCTCTAGACATCTTAAAACGTATTAAGTACCCTCAGAGGTATATCTGTCTCCAATCAACCTTTGTCTCTTTGCTGGATCTAATCTAATGTCTTTTAAGTAGTACATACCACGAAGTACAGCATCTTCAAAAGCAAATACATACAAAGAAACAAAGAATGGAGAATGCTGTCGAATTTAATATCTCACTCATAGTAACTTTAGAGGGAACTTTTTCTGACTTTCACTGTTTGAAGAAGTATTATTCAGTGGGAGAAGCTTCCCAGAGGCAATGGAGACTTGTAGCAGTGAAGTATCTGTGTAGTGTGCTGTCCATGAGTACTCAGGGTCAGTGAATATATCCTTAGAATGTACTGAAGACAACTGAAATGCATGCTTGCCTAATTTTCAGAACCTCCATAGCTCTGCAGAGCTGGATACATGTTGCGTGCCTCTATTTGTGTGTATGTTTGGGCAGGGTATGAGTTATGACTGTTAGTCAAACAATTGCTTATTGTTTATAGTTGGAGCTTATTAGTATCTCCAAGGAATGTTTTCAGGCCATTGATCTCTTCAGGCCTGTTTATTTTTAAGAAGATTATTTTCTCAGCTCTTTGTAGCAAAGCAGATCCTCTGTCTTCCAGAGCATGGCGATTTCACAGGTGTGTCCTTTAGCCCCATACAGGGTGCAGACTTGCTCACTGACATTCCCCATTGGTCTTTCCAGCTCAGCTGTTTTTGTTCCTGGGAATGGTGAACTCAGCAGCGAGGAGCACAGGATGTTGTGGTTTTGTCTGGCCACCCTTGTGTGCTTCCAAAATAAATCCAGGGTAGAGATCACAGTGGAGTCAGACTTGCACCAGAATGTGAGCTGGGCCTGAGGCAGCATGGCCCAAGGCTGGGTGTTGATTTCTCAGATAGATCTAGCTGTGATTAAGAAATCAGATGTCTGCAATTTGCCTAAATGAGTCTCTGCTCTATGGCTCCATTCCATCTTTTTAAAAAATGATTGATTTATTTTTAGGTTAGAACACAAAGCCATGTGTTTCATCATGGCTTCTTCATACACACGTGTCATTAGACTTCACTTTCATTTGTTCCTTCCCCCCCTCTCCTCACTCACACCCCTCCCTCATTCTTCTGGGCTCCCTTCCAGCTGTCAAGCTAGCCTCCCTTTCTCCTTTCTCCCTACAAATAGTCCATTACTCTCTGTATTTTCTGCCTCTGTTAGGATCTCTTTCTTCCTTCTCATGATTCCCTTTCCAGTTCCATGTCTTATACACACAAAGGCACACACAAACATATCTAGATACACATATGATTTTAAAATCTAGATTTTGCATGTAAGAAATGACATGTAAACTGATCTTGCTGAGTCTGGCTTCTTGCATTTAATAGTATGATTTCTACTTGTGTTGGTCTTGAGGTATGCATCTTGCCTAAGCATCATTTTGTTAGATACTAGACAGAGCATGTTGCCTATAGTGTTGTCTCATTCAGTCTTTATAACAACTTTATTAGTCCATATCTTTTCATGTTTGTTTTCATTATGAAGAAGCAAGCCTTACAGATGTTGTCTGACAAAACTTTTCCTGGAGTGTTGCAACACACACGTCGAATCACCCTAGATAAGGGAACCTACAATAGACCAAAATACGCATACCACCAAGGTCCAACTTGGTGAGCTAATGAGTTTAATTGGGGTTACTGACTTAGTTAGGGTTTCTATTGCTGTGAATAGACACTTTGACCACAGCAACTCTTATAAAGGAAAACATTTAATTGAGGTGGTGGCTTACAGTTTCAGAGGTTCAGTCCTCAATTATCATTGCAGGGAGCATGGTGGCCTGCGGGTAGATATTGTGCTAGAGAAGGAGCTGCTACATGTTGATATGCAGGCAACGGGAAGTAGATTGTTTCATTGGGTATAGCTTGAGCATATATGAGACCTCAAAGCCCACCTCCACAGTGACACACTTCCTCCACAAGACTACACTTACTCCAACAAGGCCATATCTTCTAATAGTAGTGGCCCTTTGGGGGCCTTTTCTTTCAAACCACCACAGTTCTTTATAGGAATATGGGTGAGGGGTCACTTACAGGAGCAGAAATGACTCAAAGACAGCTACATCACAGAAGCCTATAGTTATACTTTTTTTGGACCGCCAGCTCCTAAATAATGACATGGAGACTTTTTACTAATTATGAAAGCTTGGCCTTAGCTTAAGCTTGTTCCCAACTAGCCCTTATAACTTAAATTAACCTGTTTATTTTAATCTATGTTCTGCCGTGTGACTTGTTACTTCTCTTCCATACTATATGTCTGACTTTCTCCACATCTTGCTGGTGAATTCTCGGCCCCTCAGATTCTTCCCAGAGTTCCTATCTCTGCCCAGAAGTCCTGCCTATCCTCTCCTGCCCAGCTATTAGCCATTCAGCTTTTTATTAAACCAATCAGAAGGTACCTTGGCAGAGACATATTTTCACAGTGTACAAAAAGATTATCCCATAACAGAAGCCCACTCCAGCATAGCTGACAGCTCACAAAAGCTGGGAAACCTGGATCACACTGTACAACCTACAAGCAGCCCAACAGGTAGGAGAGTGTCCTTTCCAGATGCCTTAGTTGGTCTAAAATGCTTCCAGGCAGCCAGCTAGTTCCTGCTTCTTCCAGGTAGCTGGTCTTGTGAAGTCTTCTTTAGCAACTAAGCCTTTCTGAGAGTCTTCTTTGCAGCTTGGCTCTGCTTACTCTGGCAAGGAGGGGCCTAATGAATCTGGTCAGTTTCAGGGACTTCCTGGAACTATTTGGAGTTGTTTTTCTTCCTGCCTAAGGAGCTTCTTGAAGGATGGAATGTTTTAATCTTGGAGGAAATTGTTACACAACACAGAAATGCAGAAATATATACTAGGTTGCATATTTAATTATTAATAGAAACAAACTCTTAAGTATAGA